ATTGCAGAGAGCTAATAGAATTATCAACTACATCTTCAATACCTGGTTTCTTTTATATTTATGACAATATGATGAGAAAGATGTCATAGGAAACGGCAACTATGATTTTATTCTTCGTTTAGTCAGGTTCAATTATCATGTTAGTCTGCCATGCATATTGATTTAATCGGTCAGTAAGCTTCCGAGCACAGAACCTTTTTTCTAGATGAGCTTTCATATGTTATCATTCAACGATTCAAACTTGTTAAATTAAAATATCAAATGAATAATGTAAGAGGATGCGAGTATGGATTGAGGTTATTGAAAAACAAACACTGACACACATTTTCTCGATGCAGTTGTAAAAATGATTTTTGAAAAAGAAAGAATGATTGCATTTCTCTCCTTTTATTAACAGAGAGTACCTTTTCATAATGAAAAAAATTTCATGATAGCATATCATTGAGAAGAAAGTAAATATTTAACAAAGAAAAAAAAACGACTTTTAATGCGACACAACAATAGTCGTGAAGCAGTGATTCAAAAAAGTACAGATTACTTACGAAATATTCAGTTTCATAAAGAAATATAAAAGCTCTCAACATATTCCCTGAAAGATTGAAGGAAGTGCAATATGTGTGAGCAGTTCTTCTCTTAAATTACAATAACACATTTCATACCTACCTACCCACGTATTCTCTTCAATATGTATGACTAATAAAAAGTGTCATAGTGAGACGCATTTCTCATTGACACTATTTATTCACCATCTGTCTCAAATTCTTTTTTACAGTATTGCTTTCTATATCATTTTCATGTCGACAGAGGATCGTCACATTGTGAAAACGGACGTGCTTCTACCGAATGCAGAGGACCGAGACAAACTGGCTTTCATTCTATTGAATGTTTTCACACCGAAAGAATGTCAAGATTGGATTGAGTTGACTGAACAACATGGTTACAGTCCTGCAAAAGTAAATATAGGGGGTGGACGCGAAAAGCTAATCACTGATTTTCGTGATAGTAGTCGATGTATTATTGATGATGTGAATATGGCCAACGTTCTCTTTCAACGTATCGAATCATTTTTACCGAAAGTATACAACGGTTATCATTTGGTCGGCCTTAATGAACGCCTTCGATTTCTTCGATATGATCCAGGCCAAAAATTTGAACCACATATGGGTACGACTCCTCAAACAGTTTTCTATTTGAATACAATATAATTTTGACTTTTATATGTGAAGATGGCGTTTACGCACGTGAAGATGGTTCCGGCGAGAAAAGTATGATTGTGAGTATACTGCAAGATGAAAGCACAAAGTATCTTGAAAGTTCAGCTTCTAATAAAACTGCAATAAGTTTTGTCTATCTTAAGCGATTCATATGAATCTTTCATCACTTTTTAGTTTCGACTTTGAAGTTTTATTTCACATGATCTCATTTACAAATATTATTTTCAATGGTCAGCACCAATTGCAATCTATCAATATATGTGTTTCGAAACATAGAAAAACAGTTAATAAAAGTGGTTCTGATATCATTCTCAACTCATCATCAATTCCTATTCACACATGGACAAATTATTAACAACGTTATAGACGGTTTTTTCTACAAATCTTTCGAAGCACATAAATTTACGCATTGCAGTTGATGCAGACAATTTTCGAACAACACTTATAGATGAAGTTATGTGACAAAAAACTTCAGAAAATATCCCATGAAATGCTAAAAAGGCTATGTAAATCACTTGGATTATTGAAGATATCTTGCAATTTTATATTACTGCAAACTTTTGAGATAATCTATACATTGCTATATATATATATAATGATTTTCAATTTAGACTGTACAACTGTACTTGAACGAAGGGTACAAGGGTGGTGAAACAACCTTCATCGATTATAATGATTCTACCAAGGATGTTCCTTGTGTACCACGTACAGGAATGGTACTTGTCTTTACACATCGTATCTTACACAAAGGTTCAAAATTAATTGAGGGCCGTAAATACACTGTCCGTACTGATGTCATGTATCGACCATCATGAAATAAAATTCATTTAATTTTTTTTCTCGTGTCTCTTGTATTTTCGCACGCATGTTCGATAGTCACATTGGGTGTCGGTGTGTCACTTTGGCTGTCGCTGTGCATGTGAGTGTTTTTTGTATGCCAACAACGATGTCTATTCAGATGCCACATTGCATCCATATCGACACACGCACACGCACACTCATTTCGGTAGGCTAGAAGACAAGTAGCTGTTTTTTATCTGTGAAAGTATAAAAAAGCTTTTTTCTTTGTACACTCCTTCACGTTCTCTACTGGAAGAGAAAGAAAGAGAATTTTCAGCACATCAAAAAGCACGGTTTGTTTTTCTTACACAGGTTTGTTTCAGAGATGTCCATCGCGGTTGGGTGTGGATGTGGGTGTGGATCAAGGAAAAAAGTACACTCCACCCACATCTACCCCCAAACTCTCACACACACAATTTACGAGTTTTATAATATCTTAAACTTAGCAAAAAATGTTCTTCGAATTGTAGAATGTCATATATTCTAGCTAATTGCATTAATTTTATTTAAATGAGAAAAAAGAATAAAGTAGGTAATATTCGAAATATGATTAATAAAACTATGGATAAACATAAGCATATGAAAACTGGATTGATTACTAGTGTTAGAGGCTATCCTTACAATCTAAAGCATAAGTAAACATAGAAAATATGTATGCATCAAAAGAAAAAACAGTGATGAAAAACAATTTTTTCTTCCCATATTTGTTTGTTGCTCAGCATTTTCTAATTTTAGCATACATTGTTGTAATCTAATATCAAACCTTTCACTGTATTGTCGTGCACATGAATAAAGTTTTTCTGAGTTAATTTTATTCAGAAATTCAGACAAAAATATATCTGAATTGACTTCCGTACATATTGTATAATTTACTAAGTCAGTAATATTTTGAAAACGAGTTTCTACATCGATCATACCGTGACCAAAGAATTGATGAGAATCCGCCGACTGAATATAGAGGGATTTAACTCGCTGTGTTTGTCGGCAAAATCCTTGACTATTATTTGTTTGTAGTTGTACCATTAACTGTGCAGCACTGTTGTCCCACCTGTACATAAATATATATAAAATAATCCATTGCCTTTTATTTTCTGTATCAGAAAGTAAAACTTACCATTTCAGGAAAGACTCACCTTGTGTTGGACTTGTACATTTTGCAAACGATGATATAAAACCGAACACGAAGGGTTTCAATTGAATATTTGATTTCTCCAATGTGTCATTCAGTTGGGTCATATTAATTGGCAGCGCATTTTGCGTCGTTACTGGCATGGCAACCATATTTTTCACTCCACTAGCACCAACACGTTGTAAGGCAAGTACATCTAAGTTACAAAAGTATGCACAAAATATGTTGTTGTGATTTATCTATATTGAAAACTTTGCGAGTATCCAATATTTTTTAAATTAAAAGGAATAATTTGCTCGAAATTGACAAAAAAGAGTTCATAGTTGATCGCGATTTATCGAAACGATAATCATTTTCCTAATAAATAATGACTTTTTTGCGCAGTTTTTTCGTACATTCAATCGAGTACCGATGTGATTTTACTTTCATTTTTCTATATTATATTCAGAATCTTTTCTTAATGATTTCAGCCATGATTGCTGTAATTAGAAAATTGAATAGTTACATTATTTTACACAACCAAAAAATACAGTAGATGCGGTACACAATTTTATGTCTCGAAAGTAATATAATAGATTTCTTGTAATTCATCAGTTCGAAAATATAAACAAGAACTTAATAAAATGATGACAATAAAACACACTTTCCTAAAAAAGAATAAATCAACTTTATACTTGATATAAAACATTATTTTTATGTCTATTCGATACATCATGTAAATAAGATATATGCACCTTTGTTCGATTTTAAACCTTGTCGTCTATGTACATGAAAAAATTCCATGGAAAAAGTTCGATTTACATTCTTTCGTATCTGCTTTTCATTATTCAACTTTTTAATGAAGAAAATAATTCTTTTACATAATATTCGTATGTGTCAATGTATAATGTCACGTCAATTAAGCGTTTTTCGTCAATGCATTCATCAAATCGTTCCGAAATATAATAAATTTCACCAGATAACTACAAACACTGATGCAAATCATCGATTAAACCGCAATAACTATGAGACGATTATTTGATTTTTCAAGAAATGCACTCGAATGCTTACACCGATGCATATACAACAATCAGTCATGGTCGCAAAGATTTTGATATCATCTCTTTTATCTCATTGTTCATATTCAATAGGCGTCTTAACTTAGTTAAATAAAACAATTTTCTTGAAACCTATTTAACAAGAACAGTTCGAAAGTTTGTGTTTTAATAATGCCAACAAATCTTCAACCAATAAAGATCAAAGTAATTCTGATTTCGACGTTTTCGAAGAGAACTACTGGAATGCATTAGAAAAAAAATGAAAAAGAAATTTCGAATAATATTATAGTCTTTTTACGTAGAAACATGTCTATAAAATGAACAAACTAGAGTGCAGATCTATTTTGAGGTGGAAAAAAATTTTCTCTTCTTTTCAATTATTTTCATATATGTAGATAACAATATTTAAGAACGAAATACTTGTCTCTTCTTTCTATATGTAATACAGAGATGTGGCGAATTATAATTTTTCTACATCCTATAATGAAAACTTATCTGAAATAGAGTTACTATTGTTAGCCAGAAATATTGAAAAGAGATCAAAATTAGTTTCTCGTTACTCTTTGAACGTCGTTGATTGTATAAAAATACTGCATAGGCCTTAGTTTTAACTAATCAGTATTTGGAAGAAAATTACTTCACCGTTCGAACACAAGTTATCTTTTATTGTCAAAATATGATTTATTGCGCTACAATCTTAATATGAACAGATGCTTACCTAAGAAAACATTAGGACTCGCTTCTGTATTTTCTTCACTGCCAGGGTTATGGGACACCGTCTTATTCGGTACGAGAGAAGGATATAAATTTATTGGTTTGAATTGACCACCTGCAAATTCAAAAAATATTCGACAAAGCTTGTCAACAAAATCATCGAGAATATGAAACTATACTGACCCGAAAAATAAATTGTACCTATTTTCGATACAATTGATCGATCTTCGCTAATAGCTGTAGCAATATTTGTCATAGGTCCAAGAGCCAAAATATCAACTGGTACTTTTGAATATTTCAACATTAGTTTTATCAATTCAATCCCACCGAATGGTGATGGTTGAAGAAATATATTAGAAGACTGATTCAGACAAGTCGGAGCAGTCATATATGAGTTGATTGAATCCAATAATGATTGTGGAATTACATAGCCAGATGACAGTAATGGATCACTTCAAAATAAAAAGACAGAGTTTGCAAAAAACAACGATGTCGTACAAAGTTTACTTCACTCCATAACCGACTCCAACACCATTTGAACAACCAATCAAATCAAGAAAAGTAAGAGCATTCGATCCCGAATAAAAAGGTGAACTTAATAGAAAAAAAGAGGATAAAAATAATGTTTAATGAGTGTGAGTGTAATTTGAAGTTACCTGTATCCATTGCCGGCAGTTGTTATTGCAAGTACATCAACAGTTGGTACCTTTAGCGTTAGTTATCACAAAGACGTTAAGAATTCGATTTTTTTCTCTCTCATTAATACTTACATTAAGAATATAATGAATTGCCCATAAGTCATCTACGTCTGTGTCTGTGTCGATAATTACTGGTTGTCTTTTAATATCCTGATTAATACAAGCTTGTATGCTTTGTTCAACAGCTGTCAATGGACGACCATAAATGAAACAACGATGAATAATCATGATGAACACTACTTTTAATAAAATTCTTGAATCTTCCATCGTGTTCACAGACAAAGGTCTAGGAAAAACACACTTCAAACGGTTATGAATCCAAGGATATTCTTGTATTGAATGAAAGGAAAGTTCCTATTGCGTACATGTAAAAGAAAACATCTACGTCTGATGCTAGTCGATATTTCTGGATAAGGAATCTTTTATATAAAGTGAGCTCCGTTATCTTTCGGTTGTCGACTCACCGAGACGTGGGTAAAAATCCGTTCTCACATATGCTTCTATGTCTTGATGAAAGGTTTTATTGGAAACAATGATGATATCCTAGTACTAAATATTTTACAGAATTTTCAATTGAATGATTATGTTTGGTAAATATAATCCCTAGTCGAGACTCTCTCAACGAATCCCCGAGGAATCCAGGAGGACTTTATAAGGGTCTCGTCGAAAAATTCTGAGGAACTCCTAAAGACGTGATAGGAAATTGAAAGGGTCCTCTTCACTTTTTCACAATCTACTAACTTTTTGTTTAGATTATATCAATCGAAAAAAAAAAATCTCCAAAAAAATATTTCATTTTCCTACATGATCTTCCACCTAAACTGTTCAGCAGGTCTCATCTTAAACGATGAATCTCTCAAATCAAAACCAACCCATTTCACAACAATGGATTGTCACTGAGAGAATTCAGACAGAAGTTCATATGATATTTATTTGGAAAAATTAATGTTAAAATAAACAATTATTTCTGAATTTTGATTTTCTTTTATATTTTAATTAGCGCTAAATAAAACGGTGAACGCATTCTTGCACTTCCTCATACATCCTCTCCAAGGAATTCGTAGTAACCTTAACACTAGGTTGATTTGAAAAGTGAGAATCGATTAGGGAAGAGAGAAAAAATGAACCTATTTTACATTTTTTAGTCTCAAAAAAAAATTGAAAGCAAAAACTACATGGGGCGAGAAACCAGACAACAAACGATTTCTATAGCCAAAAAATGGTGGACTTCTACCAACGAATTACACAGACTAAGATCAAACCGAGACTCTCGGTCAATTACGATCAGTCTCCGTCCAAATAGATAAAGATTCATTCATATTCAGATATTGTGAACAGAGATGAATATTTTTTTATATATAAAGAACCTATATTACCATCTCTCATCTTCAAAGAGTTTTACTGTTAGAGAAAACAAAACTTGTTGGTATGTTCGCTAGATTGAAAGAACGAAATCCAGCAATGGAAATTCACCTATGTCTGTCTTTTACACTTGATACAAAGGATCATATCGATCTTGTTATAGTACCAAGTGATATCGACAGACAGAGAGACACCGATGAATCTACGATCTTCTAATAGAAAGTTGATCAAGGATTAAGCGAATCATTGACCAAAAAGACTGTACTAGTCACTAATGTGAGAATAATAAATTCTACTATGAAAAAAAAATTGTATCGTACAGAACTACTTTTGCAACGACAGCGAAATATTTTTTAATGGTTCGCAAAAACTCAAGATATATTCAAAATATTTGTCAAAGCTTCACGAATATTATTTTAAGATTTTAAATGTTTCATACGGAACGCTTTTTAAGTCCTATAGAGTATAGAAGTCTATCTTTGATTTTGGATAACATCTCAGTTTTTTTTTCTCAGAGTGAAATCAAATCACACTTTATTCAACGATATAGAAATTTCATGAGTTACTGTAAGAAGAGCTCTTGTGTGATTCGAAAAGTATTGGTGAAGAGTATAACAAAAGTTCGATCAAAATGGTATAATTACATCATTTAACACTCTTCATCAACTAGTTTGTTTTTAAATGATAGCTGCGACTGTAAAATTTGTACTGTTTCGATACGAAAACAGACATAATGGCTTCAAGTTCGATTATCAACAACTCTATGGATTACTTTATCTTTATCGAACAATGAGTGAGAAACTTAAAAACATGAATTAAAGTTTGAGCCTCGTGATAATCGAAGTTATAACCATTATGTTCAAATACATAACAAACCAAAATTTCATTATTCCAAACAGAAAAATAAAAACTTACAAACTATGAAAAATGTAAGAGAAACTGTATGTCGTGTTATTGCTTTCACCCGAATATCAAATGATTGTTTTTCTATCATGCTTGAATGAGTAATTTTAACATTACCTATGAAATTTACCTGTAACAGTAAAACTTTTAGAGCAAAAACTATCATTTTAAAAGAAATTAGTCAATGAAGATCTATACATGTTATAGTTATAGAACTTTGCTTTTCAATCGAATTTTTGAAATATTCTTTTTATTACGTTGCAGAATATACAGTTTTACCAATCTAAATATTGTTTACTGAAGAAAATGATGAGATACTGGCAAATACTTTTATCCTTTTTTCACATCCGATGAATGGAGCGGAGAGAAAAATTACTTTAAGACAACAACCAACACGCCAATACAGTCTCTACGAAATATGTATATATATATGAAAACATATAGTAATTAATTATTTTCATCATGACATCCAATATGGCGACTTATTTAACTACACAAAAAAAATACTATTTATCAGTTTGAAATCAACAAAATGCAATTTTATTTTCGTGCTTCTCGATCTGGTCATGCAAATAGCGGAAACAGAAAAGACAAGACATAGAATATTTTAAAATCATGAAAGAGTTGAAAAAAAATGAATAAAATGAAAGATTGTTTTGATAGAGCAAACGCTATTTTCTTCTTCCTACAATGCATTATAAAAATATTGATAAACGATATGTAATTACTAACAGGTTCTCTTACTCTAATAAAAATCAGCAATATCGAAAAAATATAATGGGTCATGTCAATAGAAAAGCAAAAACGATACGTAAAACTTGTGAAATTACAACCTGTAATTTCTCTTTTAAATGAATATTGTTTTTGCCAATAGCGCATGTGACATAAAAAGAGAAACATGCATGTTTACTCATTTCATTTGCTTTCTTTTTGACAAAATCAATCGAGACCTACTTGTAACTTTACTATCAAGTATTTATGTGCGAACAGACCCAAGATAAATTTTTAAGTCAATTAAAATTTTTAGAATGTCTTTTGATTTAAAGTTGAGAATTTTATTAAATTTCGGTAAAGCAAATGAAAGAATGAGAGCACATAAAATATCAAATCGGTTCATTGGTATTTTTCTCGTTTAACTTTATC